ATATATATATAAGTTTTAAGCAGTGTACCAGTAGGTGGGCATTGATGATATATATATAAGTTTTAAGCAGTGTACCAGTACGTGGACATTGAGGATACATAAATAAGTCTGGCACATTTAATGTATCTCCAATGAAATTTGAAACCAAAGTTGTCTCAACTGTGAATGTGAAAACTTGTATCCACTCTTCAGGGCAGTGGCACAAAACCACAACGTGTAAAGTATGGTCAACTTTGGGATACAAAACCAATGATGGTCAATAACAGTAGGATCAAAGCTACAATACTTTTTATTTACAGACACTTGTATAACCGAAGGCATAAAATTCACTATCCTGGTTTTATATTATGGTCATTGTACCGGCAATCTTAAATGATAAAATAACAATGTCTACTACACAAACAAGAAGACTCCATCATCAATATCCCCTGCCCAGTGGTCAAGTCAGGACAATACACCCATGTTACAAGGTACAGCGGGCTACAGTTCATATTACTGTATTCCTTTATAAGCATGATTTAAACCAATTGTGTGTATATATATAAAGTACATTGTACCTATCAGACAGAACAATTCTTCCCATCTAGCTGCACGGATGAACAGACTTTGTTTTGATATCCTTGCCAACTGAGTTGAGCATGAGCAGAGGATTAAAACATTCAGAGGATTATAATGTATTTACTTTGGATTCAAACATTCAGAGGATTATAATGTATTAACTTTGGATTCAAACATTCAGAGGATTATAATGTATTTACTTTGGATTAAAACATTCAGAGGATTATAATGTATTTACTTTGGATTCAAACATTCAGAGGATTATAACGTATTTACTTTGGATTCAAACATTCAGAGGATTATAATGTATTTACTTTGGATTCAAACATTTAGAGGATTATAATGTATTTACTTTGGATTCGAACATTCAGAGGATTATAATGTATTTACTTTGGATTCAAACATTCAGAGGATTATAATGTATTTACTTTGGATTCAAACATTCAGAGCGAACATATTAACTATCAATTAATCGTAAATATTAGAAACCCTACCATTATCAAACATTATTTTTTTATATTGATTCCATGTTTAATAAGAGTATGTCTTTGAAATTATATTTTCTGAACAATGTAAAACACTGTATTCTGCCAATAATGAGGAAAGTAATATTTTACCAACCATTATAAATTGAATAGTATAGGTACAATGTAGTGTATAGTTTAGGGCCAGTCTTACCTCTAGTATAGGTACAATGTAGTGTATAGTTTAGGGCCAGTCTTACCTCTAGTATAGGTACAATGTAGTGTATAGTTTAGGGCCAGTCTTACCTCTAGTATAGGTACAATGTAGTGTATAGTTTAGGGCCAGTCTTACCTCTAGTATAGGTACAATGTAGTGTATAGTTTAGGGCCAGTCTTACCTCTAGTATAGGTACAATGTAGTGTATAGTTTAGGGCCAGTCTTACCTCTAGTATAGGTACAATGTAGTGTATAGTTTAGGGCCAGTCTTACCTCTAGTATAGGTACAATGTAGTGTATAGTTTAGGGCCAGTCTTACCTCTAGTATAGGTACAATGTAGTGTATAGTTTAGGGCCAGTCTTACCTCTAGTATAGGTACAATGTAGTGTATAGTTTAGGGCCAGTCTTACCTCTAGTATAGGTACAATGTAGTGTATAGTTTAGGGCCAGTCTTACCTCTAGTATAGGTACAATGTAGTGTATAGTTTAGGGCCAGTCTTACCTCTAGTATAGGTACAATGTAGTGTATAGTTTAGGGCCAGTCTTACCTCTAGTATAGGTACAATGTAGTGTATAGTTTAGGGCCAGTCTTACCTCTAGTATAGGTACAATGTAGTGTATAGTTTAGGGCCAGTCTTACCTCTAGTATAGGTACAATGTAGTGTATAGTTTAGGGCCAGTCTTACCTCTAGTATAGGTACAATGTAGTGTATAGTTTAGGGCCAGTCTTACCTCTAGTATAGGTACAATGTAGTGTATAGTTTAGGGCCAGTCTTACCTCTAGTATAGGTACAATGTAGTGTATAGTTTAGGGCCAGTCTTACCTCTAGTATAGGTACAATGTAGTGTATAGTTTAGGGCCAGTCTTACCTCTAGTATAGGTACAATGTAGTGTATAGTTTAGGGCCAGTCTTACCTCTAGTATAGGTACAATGTAGTGTATAGTTTAGGGCCAGTCTTACCTCTAGTATAGGTACAATGTAGTGTATAGTTTAGGGCCAGTCTTACCTCTAGTATAGGTACAATGTAGTGTATAGTTTAGGGCCAGTCTTACCTCTAGTATAGGTACAATGTAGTGTATAGTTTAGGGCCAGTCTTACCTCTAGTATAGGTACAATGTAGTGTATAGTTTAGGGCCAGTCTTACCTCTAGTATAGGTACAATGTAGTGTATAGTTTAGGGCCAGTCTTACCTCTAGTATAGGTACAATGTAGTGTATAGTTTAGGGCCAGTCTTACCTCTAGTATAGGTACAATGTAGTGTATAGTTTAGGGCCAGTCTTACCTCTAGTATAGGTACAATGTAGTGTATAGTTTAGGGCCAGTCTTACCTCTAGTATAGGTACAATGTAGTGTATAGTTTAGGGCCAGTCTTACCTCTAGTATAGGTACAATGTAGTGTATAGTTTAGGGCCAGTCTTACCTCTAGTATAGGTACAATGTAGTGTATAGTTTAGGGCCAGTCTTACCTCTAGTATAGGTACAATGTAGTGTATAGTTTAGGGCCAGTCTTACCTCTAGTATAGGTACAATGTAGTGTATAGTTTAGGGCCAGTCTTACCTCTAGTATAGGTACAATGTAGTGTATAGTTTAGGGCCAGTCTTACCTCTAGTATAGGTACAATGTAGTGTATAGTTTAGGGCCAGTCTTACCTCTAGTATAGGTACAATGTAGTGTATAGTTTAGGGCCAGTCTTACCTCTAGTATAGGTACAATGTAGTGTATAGTTTAGGGCCAGTCTTACCTCTAGTATAGGTACAATGTAGTGTATAGTTTAGGGCCAGTCTTACCTCTAGTATAGGTACAATGTAGTGTATAGTTTAGGGCCAGTCTTACCTCTAGTATAGGTACAATGTAGTGTATAGTTTAGGGCCAGTCTTACCTCTAGTATAGGTACAATGTAGTGTATAGTTTAGGGCCAGTCTTACCTCTAGTATAGGTACAATGTAGTGTATAGTTTAGGGCCAGTCTTACCTCTAGTATAGGTACAATGTAGTGTATAGTTTAGGGCCAGTCTTACCTCTAGTATAGGTACAATGTAGTGTATAGTTTAGGGCCAGTCTTACCTCTAGTATAGGTACAATGTAGTGTATAGTTTAGGGCCAGTCTTACCTCTAGTATAGGTACAATGTAGTGTATAGTTTAGGGCCAGTCTTACCTCTAGTATAGGTACAATGTAGTGTATAGTTTAGGGCCAGTCTTACCTCTAGTATAGGTACAATGTAGTGTATAGTTTAGGGCCAGTCTTACCTCTAGTATAGGTACAATGTAGTGTATAGTTTAGGGCCAGTCTTACCTCTAGTATAGGTACAATGTAGTGTATAGTTTAGGGCCAGTCTTACCTCTAGTATAGGTACAATGTAGTGTATAGTTTAGGGCCAGTCTTACCTCTAGTATAGGTACAATGTAGTGTATAGTTTAGGGCCAGTCTTACCTCTAGTATAGGTACAATGTAGAGGAAGAGCAGGAGGAATGGAGGAGCACAAATCAATCGGTCCATTAAAACCCTCTTGATGCCGTCTAACATAGCAGCATCTTTCTTTTTCGGCATTATTTGGTCAAGCATCTGATAAAACTTGTGTATGAGCGGTCCACTAATACAAAACCTACATAAACAAACAAAAAACACATCTGTCTTTCTTTTGTTAAAACCAGGATGTGGTGACCTAAAAAAATGTCATTTTTTCCATTTCAATATCAATATTTGTTTTTACAAACAAATATTTTACCCTTCTGACCAATTTAGCGGGACAATTTCTTTTTGATAAGTAAAAGCAGCCTATTTTCCTTATTTGACTCTATTTCTAATAGTCATAATTTAATCTTTTACAAAACGTTTTTATTTTTTTTAAATGATAAAATTAAATTTTAATAAAAAAACATTCGTTAAGAAATTGTTTATTACTACTTTAATGCCAGTATTGCTATTGATTTATGTTGTCAGTCATGTTCAGCATTCAACTATTCCTACATATATATGATACTCACCCAAACGCTCCATATGCGAAGACACTGCGCCACACAATTTTGCCTCCATTCTCTTGGTTTGGTACGATGACTTGTGCGAGGAAGTTACCGAAAGCAGATATAGTGCCACTATGAAAGGAAAAATATCAGTATCAGATCATATTATCAGGTGCTGAAAGCAGAGGTTATGCAATATACGAGTATTTTTTTTTTAAGTTGAAAAAGACAAAGTTTTTTTTTATATTTTTCTTAACGTTTCGTTTGGTTAATTTTTCTCAATCTGACCAAATTTAACCACATATTGACCCTTTGTACCTATGTACCTTAAGTTTATATGTTGATTGGCAATTTTAAGAACACTAACATTAAAAAAGTTGTTTATAGTAAACAATACATATAACATTTTTCAATAAAAAAAAAAAAAAAAATATATTAATAAAGGAAACTGAAAGCATGGTAAAGTGCAGCTTTCAACCATGATGTTCATGAGAAAAAAAATTGCAAGTTGAGGGAGTTTCCAACCTGAAGCATTGGGTGACCAGTTCCTCAGCCCCTAAGGCACAAACGGGTGATTAAACAGGTCGGAGCAGTTAAAAAGCAACGTGCTTCATGTTGTTTACCAACCATGTTATAGTCTTCACTTTACCCTGGACAGTCACTTCCTTCACTTTACCCTGGACAGTCACTTCCTTCACTTTACCCTGGACAGTCACTTCCTTCACTTTACCCTGGACAGTCACTTCCTTCACTTCACAATGTCAACTGAGTCTATCCCACCAGTACATGCCCAGTGCTGGGTCGGTGTCAGCTTGTTTTGCCCTAAATCCTATTCTCCTCGGGTTGTTTTGCGCTAGGTCGTTTCGTCCTAAATTGTTTGTTTAATAGTTTTCCTAAGTCTTCTTAAGTCATTTTTGTCGTTAGACTCTTTATATTCGTACATTGTTGGGCAGATCTGCACAAACAATGTTGCATACACCTGCACAATGTTTTTCCAACAACACCATTGTGCATTAAACATGAAAACTGTAAGGTTTTTAATCATTAAAAACATATCATTCCTATTAGGGCGAAACAACCTTTTACGAACTGGGTTAAGGGCAAAACGACCCATGGTGTGATAGCACATACGTACTGTAAATTCTAAAATATTACTAGGTAATAGTAAAATCTGTTGGGGAGTGTTACCAGAAGAGGTTCTGGGCTCACTGCGCATACACCATAGATTAAGCCAATCAGAATGGGTGTCCGATACATGTTACATAGGGCCAAGAGGCTGGGGTATAATTAAGCATTGAACTGTTTTTGCATGGTATTTATGATCTATTTGAATGACACAGCTTTGCAAGCAAACAAATCATAATTTAAATTTTAAATTCCCACCTTATTGACAGTCCACACAAATTTGTTCAATAGTTGGAACAGTGTGTTGCGTGCTGATTGGCAAACAAAGTAGTACTTTGAAATTTTAACAAACACTTCAATTTTATTCCACAATTCAGTATCAATACAATTGCGTATGATATGCCTATAGGGTGATTTAAGTTTATCAATAGAACTCTGAGCTGAAAGTTAGATTTTAAATTGTTTTGATTTTTCCCCGGAACAAATTTCGCACATGGATAAATACAGTTAACACCTTAATTGCGACCTTGCCCTCCACGAGGGAGTTATTTTTGGAAGTTAATTCAAACTTTTCTCTTTGCTCATTTTGTGATGACGTGAATTTATTTGTTGATTGTATGGGAATCTGCCACAGTCGGTTGAATCTATAACAGCCTCGTTATTTGACATGTCATCAGAATTTGAGGAAACCGCGAGACGCGTGCAACTGATAGCGTTCGAAGTGAGTGATCTTGCGACGGAGCAGAGGGGTTCGTTACAAATGTCTGAAATGTTTATGTGTGCTGTGACTCATATCAGTAGGTCTGTAACATATGTGTCAGTAGGTCTATAGAATGTGTATTACAGACATTTGTAACGAACCCCTGCTGACCAGTGCAGTGTAACACACGATATTTCTGATAAATTGCATGAGCGTTAAAATTGTTTCCTTTACCGACATTGGTGATTTCAACCGATGTGCATTTTGTACAATATTGCAGGTCTTGTTTTTGTTGTAATAAAAGCTTTTTCTTTTTCTTTTGCACAATAATTAACAATGACATTGTCAAGTCTCACAATGCCCAGTGATATTTCAGCAGCCGTCACGTTTATTTACATTAGATATTGTAGTTCCGGCCAGTGTTGTATAAATACGCTAAGAATTATGTCTCGTGCTGCATGGTAATTAGAGTCCCATCAACACAGCTTTCAAAGAGGCTATATAGTGACAATGCCATGCAAATGTAAATATAAGGGGATGCACAAGCAAAAACGGGGACTTGCGTGGCCAGAAAGCCGGCAATACAAGGAGGGGAAAACCCCTCCACTGAATCGCTGAAAGCAGTACACCCACATTAGGGTAAGGTTAAGACTGGTTAGCTTAACGTATTCCAGTGTTCCGGGAGGAGGTGGTTTTCACCGTAAAAGTTATAGAATAGTACATTAACCTTTAGGCCTTATTTTACCACGTGGGGGCTAACATATTTAGGTTCACCACACTTATGTATTGTTTGCTATATTTTAACGGCTACCTTAGCTGTGTGATATGTAATAAACTTTAGTTAACTTTGAAACAGGGTGTTGATTGATATATAACTCGGATATTCCTCCACATCTGACGGACCTGTGTCTGATTGTACAGACGAATGCAGCGGGACATTCTTGGGGATTGACGCGGGTCAGTTTGTCGGTAGTTTTGGGGAAAACCTAAATTACTATACAATCACTTACATCTACCCACACTAGACAGAGGCTCTCCCCACGGACATCCTATTACACTAGTAATTTAGTAGAAAAGCAAGCCAGTAATGAGACAGTCAAGATTTGGTAAGAAAACATCATGAATAATGGTTTACATAAATCAATCAAACGCTTACCTCTTTTATGTTTTGTTTTTTTTCTATTTCAAGGAAGGTATTTGTACAAATATTTTTTATATACAGGTCATGATAAGGTATGAAAGTAAAAAAGTGTGAATTTAGTTGTTTGCTGCATTTCTTGAAAGTATTCAGAGACACACCAAGCAGTGCTTATGTTCGCTACAAAAAAATGATGACGTCAACAATCTTGCGGTATTGCGCACGGATCAAAGCACCGAAACTGAACCTACTTCGAAAGTGGACAGCCGGCGATGCATTGTAAAATAACGTTACATAAAGTATGAAACCTAGGATTTTCATAATGTTGTGGTGTATTTATGCATTTCAAATCTATAATTAATTGACAAATACGCTGTTCCATCACCCCGAATGCGCTGACAGCTAGATTTGCTTCTATAACATAGATGATAGACACATTGTAACAGAAGAGCCTCAAGAGGGCGTACCTGGTGCAAGCTTTCGTCAAAATAGGCCGTTCTTGTAGTGACTTCAAATAAGCCATTAACATCTTCTCAGCCGCATTTGGCTCTCTTTTCTTTTCTTCTTTGCTGTGACTCATGGTTGGCTTTTGATTGCCGAACTTAAGAAAATGGCGTAACAGATAAGAGTCAAGAGAGCGTCGATTCCAAAGTGTACTTTTAATTCATGGGCGCAGACATCTTGAATCTCGTTCAATTCTCGTACAATATGCGCGTTTATCGACTACTTTTATGGCTGTACTAAATGAAATTATAACAAACCAAATCTTTGACGGTAATCCGGAAAATGCTAACCAATTATCTTTTTGAACTCATATTTTTTTGTACACTACTAGCTTACGGTCAACGTACAAAAACGAACACTTTGGTTCCCGCTAATTTCAACAATATTTCACGATTCTAAAGGTAAAAATAATGTAGAGTTATTTTTCCATTATCAAATAAGTTAAAAATATGCCCAAGCAGACATTCTTGTAACTCGCTAAAATCATGTAACAAGGTAAACAAACGTCAAGTGTAAACATTGAAAACATTGAGTATTGTAATTCGGCTGAAAGTCTTTCCAAATTTCTTACATACCATTGACAAACTCTGAATTTTATATAATCTCTGGCGCCAGAAATTGGGCTTGAGCACAGAATCTGGGTTTGAGCATGAGAACGGTTTCATAAATACGCGCCCTGAACTCATCATACAAGTGTCTTTGGAATCAAGAAGATAATCAAATTACTTATCTGACCAAAACTGAAGTGTAATATCTACCTCTTGTGCTATATCACTGAGTATAGGAAATTAAAAGTTTAGCCAAGATGGTGAAAGCCTGATTTCCTGCAATTTTGACTGAACAGTAAAATTGACCGTGTTTCTGCAGTTTATAAATTGTAGATATTTTGATTGATCATTCGAATAATTTCTCCGCAAAAGTCGTCAATGATAAAAGTGCCTTTTTTGCGATGAATTAGAAGTTATTCGAGGAGAACACACTGATTTGTTTGAATACAAAATAATTGTTTTGGGTCATGCCGTACCGGGTGGTTATGCCTGCCGAAATATTAAGTAATACGAATCAAGTTTTTTTTGTTCAAACCCACAGGGACCTGATCATTTGTTACAGCTATATTTGGACCTAAACTAAGGTGTTCAGAGTAATCGGTGAAAGCAACACATGTCATGTTTGACAATTAGATACATATATAATATCTTAACCAATCAGTCATAATCTCATATTGCTATTGAAATTAGCTAAAAGCATTATTTATTTATAAAAACGCAACAAAAGTAGATGTGTTCAAAGATGGGACCCATTTCTGGCCCAAGCTCGTTTTTTTTTTTAATTTGCAACAACATTGCTAAACTGCAGACAGTATTGGAAATGATGGTATCTGCTCCTTGGGTCTGATTTGGCCAAATTGGAGCTCCTTGAAGTACTCCAGCTCAAAATATGAAGTAATACTTCCTCAAGAGCCTGAAAAATCACCATTTTAATGTAAAGCTGATTTTTTCCGTTATCATGCTGCTGCTAAGTTGTATTTGATCATTTTGATACCAAATATGTACTTACCTACTAGGATCTGTGATGCCAGTACCGGGTTCTTTATTAAAAACTGTAGTCCAAAATGAGCTAAAATGATCACTTGACATAACTTCACATTCCATGTCATGTCGTGGAGTTTTGATTTCACTAATTACTCTAATACATGTATTACTTAAAGCCATTTGTCTCAAACAAAGACAAAGACAAACTGTAACAATAAAATACATATTTAATGAAGTTTCGCCTTTAAGACAAAAAATACATAGACACACTTTTCTTGAATTTTTGGTTTGTGAGCAATGAGATTGTGTCTTGTTGTGAAGTATGTGTCCCAAATAACATAATATACTTGCTGTACACACATGCCTTCTCTTCTTTTACCAGCTTCAAAACATTAGTGTTTAGCAATTCAAACGCCAACCACACTGTGGCTGAAGATGTTTCGTATCTTGCACCCTTTCTTATTCAAATGTTTGAACCTCACTTTGCAACTTGTTCCAATACAGATACAGCTCCTGTTATACTTTGTATTTCCATTACGGTTTTACTGAGACACTGTGACAAAAATCACAATGTCATCAAGGTTGTCAGAAAACAAACTTGTACTTGACCTAGGTACTGGCTGACCTAGGTACTGGCTCGTCAGGTGGGCATGCCTCAATTTCACACCAGGTGAGGTATTGCATCAATTACAGGTACGATATCAAACTGAACAGCTCAGTCATCAATTTCTTTATTTCCAAATGCAACAGATAGCATATAGGAGTTACAATATACATGTACATACAAGTAAATATTACAATCCATTTATGTAAGATGGCGGAGAACATAGAGTAAGATAAAAGATGACATCATAGCAATGTTGACAACATACAAAAGAACATATATAATCATTGTCAGTGGCACAAAGCTGGAACATACACGATTGCTCAGATATTAAGTATAGACTTTCTTTTAGAAGTAGCCTGAATTAGATACTTGTACACGTTGGGTGTATAAAAATACGAAATGTTTTTCCTTAGAAAGACACCGAGCCAACCAATCATCATGACAGCCAATTCTACATAATTCATGCTTGACTTGATATACTAAATTAGTTTTACAATTTGTTTTTTTAAGATTTAATTCGACAAGCTCATCGTAACAAGATCTCAATATACAATTGTCAGTTTTCAATCATTTTAACCAGTACTTTATAATGGATATTTTATGCTTTATCTGTAAAGGGAATCGACCTAACTCAAAGTAAACCATAGAATTATTTACAGACTGTTTTACTCCAAAAACTTCTCTCAGGAAATGCAATTGAACTTTTTCAATTTGTGTTGCAGAACAGAATCCCCAGACTTCACAAGCATAGTTAAGTAAACAAGTGATAGAAGTGTCGAATAATGACAACTTAGTTTCACAGTTTAACATAAAATTCCTAAAATTCCTTTTCAATAAAAAACAAGCTGTTCTACCCTTGGCATCAATGTTATCCAATGCTAAAGTAAATTGGCCATTATCATTGAATACTAGCCCCAGACAACAACAAAATGTCTACTATTTCAATAGGCCTACCGTTCTATGTCCATTTCTCATTAGGGAAAACACTTGATTTTTCTGAATATTTCTACTTTTGTTTTATCAACATTTACCTTTAAATTCTAGCGTTCAGCATAGGAATGCAAGTGGTCAAGCATATTTTGCAGATCGACTACTTCCTCGGAAAACAAAACCGTGTCGTCCGCATACAGTATAATACAAATATTGATCAAATGTAAATGATAACTCTGACAATTTGAGTTAATAAGTTCTGACTCCATGTCATTAATAAATAATGAAAATAAAATCGGAGATAAAGATTCCCCTTGTAATAAACCGATCTTGAGGTCGTACGTGGGAGACAATTTACCATATAATTTGACGCAAGATTTGACATTATCATAAATAGATCTTACGACATTTAACAGTCGACCCCTAACCCCTGACTTCCATAACAGCTAGGTGTAATATGACCTATTAATTAGAACATCATAAGTTGGAACACACCTTTTTTTTAGTCATGAATGTAGGTCGGTGGAATAGGTCGAACCTGGCGAAAAAATTACTGTGTTATCAAACTCTTCTGATTTCAACTCCCCAATGTCTCTAGTATGATAGAAAAAAAGTCCTGAAAGATTCCCTTTGGGGGAAAAAATTGAGGCCATTTTTAGATTTGGCCTAATTTCACAATTTTTCGCCAAAAATGAAGAACGAGAATGTATCGGTTAGATGAAAGAAAATTCAGATTTTTGATATTTTCTTTGATATTAGAGTGCTGCAAATATGTTAATTTATTACACATAACTCTGTATCCTACTTTGACAAAATTAATTGGCTCTGATATTGGCATCTTATTTCAAAATACGAGCCCACTTCGGCCTGGTACAGGTATATTATGATAATATAATATATTGTAATAATTTGAGGTTTCTCTTGTGAAACCAAGTTCTATTATAAATACTTACCACAGTCATTATAATGCGTATTCCAACCTTACTTGGCTCTAAGCATACGTAAATAAAAAAAAAAAAAAATCCCCCCATGGGGAACCCCTGGAAAACCCACCGATCAAACGGCAGAATTCACGCACGTGATCAGACACGAAGCCATGCTTCCCACTTCATATTTCCAAAGCCCAAAAAAGTGAAAGCCAAGGAGACAAGGGGAGGCTGGGAGGGAACTCACCTAATGACTGTGGTAAGTATTTCTAATAGAAGTTGGTTTCACAAGAGAAACCTCAATTTTATTTCAAAATACGTTACCACAGTCATTATAATGCGAATTCGACTTACCGCAGTGTTGTCTCCGTGGAGCGATGAAGGGTTCCAACAGAAGGACCCATACCCCCGGAGGAAAAATTCAAAATACCTTTTCTTTTGTGACACAGAGCCTGATTACGACCAGCGTTCCGGATCACGCGGAGAAGACATAATGAGGGTTATGCAAAAGAAGAGGGAGGACAGACAACGGATTGGGAAGTCACAAGAGGGCCCAAAGAATACAACCCGTCAGACTGTCCCGACAAAGATCGGAGATAGAACTCCGTAAACGTAGAATGACCCCTCCAAACAGCAGCTGTCATGACCTCAGCGTAAGAAGAACCATTAAATAAGGCCCACGAAGTAGCTAAAGCGCGAACCTCATGAGCCCTAACCCCTGACACCCGCAAGGACTGATCCCCTGCCGCCTCATACGCAGCTCGAACAGTCTGAACAATCCAGCGTGAGATGGTCGCCGCAGAGATACCGGAGCGACCGGGCTGGAGAGACTGGAACAGCCGAGACGAGTGTCCCGCCCTCCCCCACTGGAGGCGACCGGAAGCAAAAGCTATCAAGAACACAGTCTTGAAAGTAAGAAACTTCCGATCCGTCGACTGGAAGGGCTCGAATGGCGCCCTCAACAAGGAATCTAGCACAAGTGCTAAATTCCACCTAGGGACCAATTTCCGTGAACGAGGCTTCTCAATGTGGAAGCCCCTAATAAGAGCAGACAATGAAGCGTCCGAGCCCACAGACTTGCTACCATAGAAAGCCAGCACACTAGCAATGGCTGAACGATAGCCTGCAATAGTTCCCGGAGACAGACCTTTGTCCTGGAACAGAGACAAAAGAAAGTCGGCTACAACGGGAACAGAGGCAGAGAC